ATACCCACACATGAAATAAATAAATGTAAAAAGTATTTTTAAAACCTTTTCTAAGTCCAGACAGAGACTAGAAGGAAACACAGAAGTCCACAGTCTGCTTATGATTCCAGATGTTAACTACAAAACAGGAAGGTCATGAGCTTGAAGTCAGTGTGGGCTACATAGCAAGAGCCTGTCTCAAAGCACCAAAGGGGAGAGACATGGTTAGTTTATGAAAAGCCATAGGCACCTGTCCTTCTTCCCTTCTACCCCCTGCCCTTCCCTGTCTCGTTGTGTGCATGTGTGGTGCATGTGTGTATGTCCATGTGTGTGTGCATGTGTCTGCTTGTGTGTGTATGTATGTGCATGTATGTGTGTGTGTAGGTAGATGCATGTGTCGTACATATGTGTCCATGTGTGTGTGCATGTGTCGGCTTATGTATTTGTGTGTGTACATGCATGTGTATGTGCATGCATGTGTGGTGCATGTGTCTGCTTGTGTATGTATATGTGCAAGCATGTGTGTATATGTGTCAGTTGAAGTCAGTGTGGGTTACATAGCAAGAGCCTATCTCAAACCCCCAAAGGGGAGAGACATGGTTAGTTTATGGCGCTTGCAGCCAAGCATCAGGACCTGAGTTTGATCCCTGGGACCCACCTGGTGGGAGGAGAGAACAAACTCCTATAAACTGTCCTCTGACTTATATACCATGTACACATGCATGCACATGCACACATATACAGACACATGCACACACAGACACACACACACACACAGAAACACATGCTCCATACATCCACCAACCCTCGGCTGTCAGAAGCTTAAAACCAAACAGAATGCTCAAAACCTATACCATCCTCCTCCAAGGGCTGCCCTGCCTGCTTTCGGGAGGTCTTAGCCAATCGGCTTCCACCCAACAGCTTACTTAGGCCTAGACCCACCTCAGAGGCATGTGCATGTGTGTGCTTTGGTGCTAGGGACTGGACGCAAGGCCTCACACATGCTCAGCAAGTGCCTCATCACTGATCTGTAGCCCCACCCATCACTTCTTTGTTGTTATACCCAGTAACAAAAGTTTTCAGGTAAGATGAAGTGGGCATGAGGCAGGCGGATCACCTGAACCTGTGAGTTTGAGGCCAGCTAGCCTAAGCAACACAGTGAGACTCCATCTCAAAAAAAAAAAAAAAAGTATTAAGTATTTCTGGTAACAGGAATGTTGATTCTAACATACTGCACAGGGACAGAAAAGTGGAAACGGTCCCAGGCAGAGCAGGTGTCCTGCTGTGAAAAAAATACGTGGCCAATAATATAATTTGGCTGTCTCTGCGGTGATAGGAGGCATGTCCTGGACACCTGTTCTGTATTAAAAATCTTTGCAGATCTGGGTAAGGTGTCATGTGCCTGTAATCCCAGAACTTGGAAGTTGGAGGCAGGAGGATGGTAAATTTGAGGTAAGCGTAATCTATGATACTCAGACCCTGGCTCAACAAAGAAACAAAAAACTCTTAAATAGAAGTCAGGCCCCTGCCCCTGCGAATCGCTCTTGAACCAGGTGCTGAGTCATAGCTACTCAGTAAGAATGAAGGAAACTAGTCACTGTGTAAGTAAGCCAACATAAACAAGCCGATTTTCTTCTCAGAAAATTAGATCTAAGCATCTCAGGTTGTTTCCTCCTCCTCCTCTTCTTCTTCCTCTTCTTCCTCCTCCTTCTCCTCCATCCCCTTCTCAATGTCTATCCATCTCCTTACTGGGGCTCAAAGCTGAGGTCTTCTGCACAGTAAGTACACAGCACTACAACCTTAGCTCCATGCCCAGACAGCGCTTTTCCTCCTCTGCCGTCACCATGGTTACAAGGGCATCCAGACCACCTCACTAGACAGTTTGATTCTTCAGTTCCAGGGAGCTTCCCAGGTTCAGGAGGACAGGGAACTTCTCAAAGATCAGAAACTCTTAGCAAATCTAGGAATTATAAGTGTTGCTGTGGGAAAGCAGTGCTCACAGGAGTGGACGTGTTTAAGTCACACCACCAGACCAGCAGAGTGACTCAGCACTCAGGTTCCCCAGTCCAAGTGACTTTTCATGGACACCGTCCTCATCCTTACCCATAGGGACCAGGTCAACAACTCTATAAGGGGCTCTATCCGTGGCAAACCTGACAATTTAGGGAGTGAAATGACTTATCCAAGATCTCACAGCCAGCACCCCGGAGGTTCACAACATGAACTCAAACAGCCCGAATGGAGAGGCCATTGCTTCTCTGCTACCTAAGTTAGTCATTTCAGGATGGCCTCCAGTTCAGCATTCCTGCCACCTCAGCATCCTGACACTGGGATTACAGCTTGATATTATGTCCAGCTAAGCTTCCAACTAGATTACAGGATTGATTCACATTCCCTTCTCCCCCCGCCCCACCAACCCTCGGCTGTGAAGCTTAAAACCAAACAGAATGCTCAAAACCTATACCATCCTCCTCCAAGGGCTGCCCTGCCTGCTTTCGGGAGGTCTTAGCCAATCGGCTTCCACCCAACAGCTTACTTAGGCCTAGACCCACCTCAGAGGCATAGGAATCGTTATCCTCAGCTCGGTAAGGCCTGAAGTTCCGACTAGGGTCAGGCTTGGACTCCAAGTCACCAGCACGGAAGGCCTCTCGGATCCTAGGCTCCCACTCCAGCAGGTCTCTGAAGTCAGGAGGCTACAAGCAGAAGATATCCATGGGGAGAGGCTCAAGGAGTGCTACCACCAGGTCCCCACCAGGCCTCAGCTGCATAACGGGCTTTGTCCACATGAGAGGGGGCCCAGGTGAATCAGCCTTCCCAGGGTGCACAACCACAACTCATGTGCTTATTGCAAAATGAACGTCGAGGCAAATGGAAACACTAATTTTATGAATGGCTCTTACACAAAGCTTTCTGAAACAATTCCATCACCCTGTGACCTGTGTGGTCCTTGCTCACTCTTACTTCAGGGAGAAACAAGAGGAAGACTCAACATGGGTCTTTCTACTTGTTTCAAGAAGCTACCTCAAGCCACAGCAGCAGAGTCGAAGCTGCTGCCGAACAGTGCAGTGCAGTGCCACACACCGCAATCTCTTGCCATTCTCTCAGGATGATAAACCACACCGCTCCAGGATCTCTGCAGCCCAGCCTCGCAACTCTGCCCTGTCCCTGGACCTACCATGTCCCTTCTCTTTATGATCTGAGCCTCTTCGAGATCTAGGACAAGTTCCTGGTTGATAAAAACCATTTGTCATGTCACATTCACAGGCTTGACATATTGATCCATTAATCCCCCCTCACTAGGCAGTAAGGACCTTTAGGGTGGGACTCCTCCTCCTATCTGGTTCTGCAGACCACCACCCATCCTGTGCTAAGCACAAAGGGTAGGAACCATCCACAAGGTATCCCAGCAAACAAACAGGGACTGCAGGACGTGAGGAAACACACTGCCCAGCAACAGTAGCTATACCATGAAGCTGAGAGAGCAAACCCAAGCACCTGAGAGGGTGTACGGAGAAGATTCAGAAGGGCGCTCCCGGGCCCGACTAGCCTCAAGCATCTGAGATGTGTAACTGCAGCGAAGACACTGCACTCAGTCCTATGATTTGTTAATTTAATTTTTTAAAATTTGTCTTGGGAGTTTTGTTTTGTTTCTGTTCTGTACTGGGGATAGAACCTATGCCGCCTATGAGGCCGGACCTTTCCCACTGAGCCACATCCTGACATGGCTGTCGTGCATGATGGCCGTATTGAACATCACCAATCAAGACCCTCTACAGAGTACTAACAAGAAGTGGTAGGCAGGGACATGAGGTGTTCGTTTATTTTTATCTTTGCTTCAAATGTTTACTATTGCTTTAGCAATAATGCTTTTTAAATTTTTTGACAAATATCTTTTCTATTTTAGTTTTTCTAGGTAGCATGTCATGGATAGCAAGACTAAGCTTCTCAAAAACTGATCAAAATGTTTAAAATATTTTTTTAATTTAATATTATGGGCTGGTGGTGGGTGGAGGTGGCACATTTCTTTAATCCCAGCATTCTGGGGGCAGAGGCAAGCAGATCTCTATGAATTCGGGGGTAGCCTGGTCTACAGAGTGAGTTCCAGGACAGCCAGGACTACACAGTGAAAGGGGAGGGGGGTGGGGAGCTGGCAAGATAGCTTACCAGGTAAAGGTACTTGCTACCAAGCCTGACAGCCTGAGTTGGTCCCTAGGACCATCTGAGAACTGACTCCTGTGACCAACACATGTGCACAATGGCTCTCCTGGAATCCCCCAAAGAAGTGTAATAATTTTAGTTACAAAAGAGATAGGGAAAGAAGGGGCTGCCTTAGAGAGATGATGGCTCAACAGTTACCAGCCACTGATGCGCTTTACAAGGACCTGAGTTCAGCTTCTAGCACCCGTATCAGGGAGCTCACAACCACCTTCAACTCTAGCTCTGGGGGCCCCAGCACCTTCTTCTGGCTTCTGTGGGCACCCATACACAGGTGGTGCCTGTGTGCACACACACGCGCCCG